CCCCGAGACGCGGGCCCGGCCGGAGCCACGGCGGCCAGGCCGCTCCCCTTCACGATAGGCGGCCAGGGTCTGAGGACAGCGGGAGACAGCGGCAGGGGGGCGGGGGAGCCTCCTTCCCAGCCGACAGCCCCCAGGGCGGGGCGGGGGTGTCTCCCCAGCAACTCAGAGGCCGGCCCCAGGGTCTGCTGCCCACTACTGTCCCCTCTCTTTCCCACCTGTCTCCTCTCTCCAAACGAAGCCAAAAATGTCCCAAAGCCCCTGTTCTTGTGAGGCGCACCCCACACTGAGCGCTGACCCCCCCACTCCCCCACATCCCAGCTCTGAAAACCTCGCGACACACACCCGAGCACACAAGCCCCACGCCTGACCGCCAGCCCACGCTGACCACGGACACCGCTACCGCCGCGGCGCGCTGTGCCCGCTGGCCGCAGGGCCGCGCCCCCCGCAGCCGCTCACCAGCACGTTCAGGAAGAACTTGGTGCCCAGCGACCAGTCGTACATGCCCAGGCACCCGATGAGGGCCAGCGCCTTCAGGGGGCTGCCGGCCATGTCCTCCAGGCGCAGCAGGTCCAGCTCCAGGAGCCTCCGGCAGCGCAGGAAGGTCAGCTCCCGGTACCTCTCCAGCGACAGGGCACCGCCAGGGGGGTGCGCGAACAGGGGGTCGCTCTCCAGAGCCCTGAAGACGGTGTGCTGCGGGTGCCGGACACAGGGCGGCCGTGGGGGTCTCCCCGCACTCCCCTGCCGTTCCCCAAGCCGCAGCCTGCTCCGCACAGCGTGAGCAGGAAACAGGACGGCAGGGCAGAGGCTCAGGGCGCCCCAACAGTCATGTCTGTTGTTCCCCAAATACCCCCTGGGGCTGTGCCCTGACGCCAGCTGGGCCTGTGCCCTTTCAGGGGTGGGGACAGGAACCGGCTCACCGAGTAGAAAGGCCTGTCCTTGCCAGTGAAGTGAGATGCGCCCACAGCCGCCCACCAGGCCCCGCCTGGACAGTGGCCACAGCCCACAGCGCTCACCTTAAAGCGCAACAGGTCCTCCCCTTCCAAGAACAGCGCCAGCTCCCTCCAGCTGAAGGAGGCGCGGGCCCGGCAGGCCTGCAGGGGCCCTGGGGGGAGATCGGGCAGCACTGTGTCCAGGCTGCCTTCCGACGTGGGCACCATGGCTTCCTCCCACCGGCACGGAGCGCAGGACCCCGGGGCGTGTCAGTCGGTCTGTGTGCTCAGCGTCCACGGTCTGGTCAGCCCTGTCAACAGGAAGCAAGCTCAGCCCCGAGGGAGCTGCCCGCAAGAGCCCAGGCGGGCGCAGCGGAGCCGGGGGCAGCGCGTCCCTCCTGCAGGGAGGTCAGCACATTCGGGAGAGCCAGCCCCTGCGGCCAGAGCAGCCAGGAGGACCCAGAGGCCCTGCGCCCTCCTGAACGGAGGCTCCCTCTTCTGGGGCTCAGCCACACCCCGCCGCAGGAACCCCCCGGCTCCAGCCAGCAGCGCCCCGACAGGGACAGCAGCCCCAGCCTTTGAGCAGACGGCCACGCTGCCCTACCTGGCCGGCGGCAGGTGCACCGTGCATACCCCGCCCCGCCGCCCAGCTCCCCGCCAACGCACTCGAGCCCTGGCGCTGCCGAGGGCGGCTCCTCTCCCACAGGGGAGGCCCCCCCGCCCTCCGCCTGTCCCTGACAGGCGCCCAGAGGACACTAGGAGAACCGAGTCTGGCCCCGAGCCCCACCCGGCCCTTTAAGCCCCAAGACCTCCAGACCCCCCCCAGGGGGATAAGCAGTGGGGCCCACCCCTGCCCTGGCGCCCGGCTGTACCAGGACCGCTCCAGAGGTGGGGGACGGGGCAGGGGGCACTGAAGCAGCTGCTCCTTAGCTCTGCGCTTGGCCGCATGTGGCGGCCGTGACCACAGCGGGGCTGGGGGAGGAGCGCACCTGCCGCTGGCCCAGCCAGTGCGGGGCTGTGGGCGGGAGGGGACGGGCACCCCGCTGACCGCCCGCTAGCCCTCGGCCGTGCTGTGCAGACCCGGGCACGGGCCGTCAGGGCACACAGCGGTGATCGGACACGGCCCAGCCGCGTCAGCCCCGCCCGTGTCCCCTGCGACGGCCGTGGCGGCCTGCAGGACACGGGCTGTGACACGCGGGACTCTGCGGCCGGCCTGGCGCCAGGCTCAGGGGAGAGTGGCCTTGGCACCTCCCTGCACCTCTGTGTC